CATGGAGGCCTGGAACGCCACCTACAGCCGCATCATCAACTTGCGTCCGGGGGCCTCGGGAGGGGCCTCTGGCATACCTGGAGGGGGAGGAGGAGGGGGGCCGGCTTGCGGGCGGGGAACACGTGCCGCTGGTGAGTGAATGGGGGGGAGGGGGAAATGGGTGGAAGGGATTGGGGGGGGAGGGAGGGAAGGAATGTGGGGATGTTGAGCTGTTAGGGGGGCCTTTCCCGCCCCGCCCTTCACCCCGTGGCCCACTTTTGCTGCTTTGACGGTCGAGATCACCACCATCATAAACAACATAAGCATCACCACCATCACCACCACTAACATCGCTATCATCATGTTTCTTCCGTAACCCAACCTCCAAACTCCCAACAACCCCACCCGCTTTCCTAACCGCAATCCGTACGTTCCCCTCCTCCTCCCCCCCCTCCTCACCTAACCCCCGGCCAGGCGGGGTGCTGCCGCTCTTCACAGTGGGGGCGGATCATACGCTCCAGGTGAGTGGTGTGAGCGGGGTGGGGTGGGGAGGGGGGCGGTTGGGGGGGGGGAAAGGGTTTGGGTAGCGGTAGGGAGAGGGACAGCTAAGCGGGCGAAGATGCACGAACGGGTGACGTTGGCGAAAGCCGGCGGATTAGGTGATTCACAAATTTCGCCCTGGCGGCGGCGGAGAACGAGGAGGAGGAGGAGGAGGACGACGGTTGGTTGTGGGGGGGGGGCCGAAGCTCCCCGGAGAGGGGGCCAGTGGGGGCCGGGTTAGGGGTCATGCCGCAGCATCTGCTGCTACTGCTGTTCTGCTGCTGCTGCTGCTGCTGCTGCTGCTGCTGACTCCTACAGGGACACACGTCGTCCTGGCCACCCCCACCACTTTGCTCACATCTGCTTCATCCGCCAGTGGTTTGTCTTACCCCACCACTTTGCCGGCCGCCGGCGTTGGCCCTACGTTGGTTTGCTGCGGAACCCCCCTCATTTGAAGGTTTTCTAGGACCCGTCTGAACTGCTCCATAGGGCCCTTCTGACGAGTGTGACGTGCTCCTCCCCGCAGGCCTATGATCCGGCCTCCCGCCTCCGCCGTTGGGCCCTACGTTTCAAGACACCCCCCGTCGGCGTCTTTGCAGAGGAGCATGGCGACACCAATTTCCTGGATCCTGCCACCGTACATCCCCTTCTAGATCTGGATCCAGAACCGCCGGCGGCGGCGGGAGCGCCAACGGATGCGCGACGGCGCCGCCACCACCACCACCGCGGCGGCGGCAGCGGCGGCGGCGGCTCGGACTCCACCGGCGGCGGCGGCGACGCCGCTGATGGGGCCCGTAACCTTGTGTTGGTTGGGGAGTTGAAGGGCAGCTTGTACGCGATGCCTGCGGAACGTGTCGTACTGGACGAACGTGTCGAGGTACGCCAGGTTGGCCAAGGCGCGCCCTGTCGGTTGGGGATGAGGTGGGGTGGGGTGGGAGGGAAAGATGGGTTTTACAGGCAGGCAGGAAATGCAGCTTAACCCTGCAAATCCAGCACCATCACCCTCATCGCCACGGAGGTGGTGGTGGCGGTAGGCAGGCAGGTGTCGCTCCTGCTTGCAATTGCTAAAGACAATCCCTGAGATGGCGTGGGCTGTGTGGTGGTTGACGGTGGTTTCGGGGCGAAGAGGGAACCGGAAGCTGGGATAAATCACTTCATGAATCAGTTCCAGAGTCCTGTTTTAAAAGCTTCCGTTCTCCGTTATTTTGCCGTAATGCGATAACAGACATATATACAGACGCACTTTACCTCCTCTCCCACTCACTATACCGTATTCTTTAAGGTATCCCCTTCCCCTTCCCCTCCCTTTTCCCTTCACTCCCAAACCCCTTCCCCCGCCCCCCCACCCACGGCAGTCTCAACCGCAGCCCTGGGACGCCATAGCGCTGCCGGGGCCCGGGTCGGACTACCACTCAATCAAACCCCTGCCGCTGCTGCCGTCAACAGCCGACGCCGCCGTCGCGCCGGCAGTAGTACCAGCGGCAGCTGAAAAGGCCGTTGTCGTACACAGCGGCGGCGCCAGCAGCAAGGATCTCGTGGCGTATGCGCGGGATGCGGAGACGGGCGAAGGCGTGGTTTCGGGGCTGGCTTGCAGACCGCCGGGATTGCAGATCTTGGCCACGGTGGGAGAGCCCACGGGGGTACGGCAGCCCTGGCTGCCCGATGCGCCGAAACCGGGGGGTGGGCTGCGCTTGCCCGCCGCTGGCAATTCCAGTGGCGGCAGCGGCGCTGGTGCGGCCGCCGCGACGGGGGCCTTTGTGTTGGGCGTCGAGGCGGGCAGCGGCATGCTTACAGTGGTGCTCCTGGCAACGGCAGGTGTAGGCGCCGCTGCTGTACTTGTTGTACTGCAGTTTCGCGGCGGCAAGACCGCGGCCGCCGGTCTGAACGGCAAGGGCTCCGCGGCGTCAGCCGCCATTGACGTTGCCGCCGCCGCTGCTGCAGCGGCAGTAGCTGGGGGCGCCGCCGCCGGGGAAGCAAACATCCCCGCTGCTGCTGCTGCTGCTATGAAGAGCGGTGGCGGCGGCGGTCCGGGTGGAAGCCGTGGGGCGGGGTCGGGCCGAGGACGGCGGAAGGGCCGTGGCGGCGAGGGCGGCAGTAGCAGCAGCGGCGGCGGCGGCGGCGGCGACGGCTCCTCTTTCCGTTCCTCTGACACACATCTATCCAGCATTCCTGAGAACCAACAGCTGCCGTCGGGCACAGAGGTAAAATACGACATGGCTAATAAGGCACGTACGGCGCACACAGATGGGTACGGGACGTACGGGATGATGCGCTGCCGTACACTGACAGGGGCGTGCACGTCGCTGCGTGTGATGCGTACTGCAGTCACATGTCCATACACACATTCACCACGCATGACCCAACGTTTCCTCCTCTTGCTCTGCTTCTGTCCCTCTCCCCCCCTCCTCATGTGTGCGACACCGGGCTGCCGCGCACGGTACTCCGGGGCTCCCCCTGCCGACCGCTCCCCCGCAGGGACCCCCCTCCCCGTCAGCTCGCCCCACCTTCTCCCCGTCCCCCCGGGGTCCCCCCGGTGCGGTCGCCGCCCCCCACCTGCCTAGCGCGGAGCCCCGGGTGCGGCTGAGGGGGGACGGATCGCTGGCCATTGGTAGGTGTGTATGTGAGGGGGAGAGGGGGGAGGGAGGGGGGAGGAGGGAGGGGGAAGGGGGTTTGTTATCGGGAGGAAGATGGGGAAGAAGGGTAAATGACGATGCCAAGTGAGGTGTAATGCAAGTAGTGCTGAAGGCCCGTGACTTGGATGTGCGTTGGCGTGTGAGGTGAGGTGAGGCAGCAGCACCAGGAGGTACCTGGGTATGGTTTCGGAGCAGTGAACCCGGACCGGGCGCCCGCTGCCTGCTGGAGCTCACCAGATCACCCCCCACCCCGCACCCCGCGGTGAACTCTTCCTCGGTTCGCCTCTCCCTTCCCCCGCGCGCCGTTGGTAAATAAATAACTGCTCCTGCCGCAGGTCGACTTGTGGTGGGACCCGGCATCCTGGGGTACGGCAGCGCCGGTACGGTCGTGTACGAGGGTGTACTGGATGGCAGGTACGGATGGCGACGTTGGGGGCGGAGCGGTGCCGTACTTCCCGGGGTGTGTGGGACGGCAAATGGGGAGGGAAAGATGTGTATGTGGGTGGTGGATGGGTGATGGATTTGACGACTAAATTGCCGGCATCCACCACTCCAACCACATCATGCCGTCGCCACCGCTACCGCCGCCACTGCCGCCACCACTACCGCCACGTCACATGCGAATTCCCTTCCCCTCACCTCTTGTGCCGTTATATCAGCCCGCCTGACCCAATCATGGTTTCCTCCATATTCATCCCCCCCTCCCGCCCCTGGCAGCAGCTTTACTCGTTCGTGGTTCGTCTTTCCCCCTCCCCCTCCCCCGCACACGCACCCTCCCCCCCCCCACACAAACATGCACACGTGCACACATACATACATACACACGTGTCCAGGCCTGTCGCAGTGAAGCGGCTCCTCCGCCAGTTCACTGAGTTGGCTCGCAAGGAGATCGAGGTGCTCATCTTGAGTGACGAGCACCCCAACGTGGTGAGGTGCTTCGCGCTGGAGGAGGACCGGGAGTTTGTCTACCTGGCGCTGGAGAAATGCAGGTACGTACGTACGTATGTATGTACGTACATGTATGTATTATGTATGTATTATGTATGTATTATGTATGTATGTATGACTTAGATTACACTGTGGGCCGCGAAAGCGGGGGGCCCGGCTGCAGCCGGAACACAGCCCATGCCATGGCCGCGTCATAGACACTTCATGTTGTGTGTACGTATGTATGTATGTATGTACGTATGTATGTATGTATGTATGTATGTATGTATGTATGTATGTATGTATGTATGTATGTATGTATGTATGTATGTATGTATGTATGTATGTATGTATGTATGTATGTATGTATGTATGTATGTATTCGCCAGGTCCACGCTGAGCGACTTTTTGGACACCCCCGCGGGGCGAAACCAGTTCGTGGATCCCGATACGAAACAGCCTACAGCGAGGTATGGAAGTGCCTGTACGGCAGTCAAACACGCATTTCGCATGGTGCATGTATGTCGACCGGTACCACTGGTAGGTGGGGTTGTGGGGGAAGCGTCGGCCCAATTTCTCCCTCCTGTCTGTCTGTCTGCTCTGTCTGTCTGTCTGTCTGTCTGTCCTTGCTTCCCCTGCCGGCTCACATACACACGCACAGAGATGTCCCCTAACTGCCGTAAACCCCCCAATGCACCGTGTGGCTTTCAGGGGAATACCACCAACAACACCAACAACACCAACAACCCGTCTTTCCCCCCCCCGCCAACACCCCCAGGTGCCTCTCCACGCTTCTCGACGTGTGTCGGGGTTTGGCAGCCCTCCATGAACGGGGCATCGTACACAGAGACCTCAAACCACATAACGTGCTGCTCACTGAGGTGGGTGTCGGGTGGTGTGTGTGGGGGGGGGGAGAGGGGGGGGAAAAGAGAGGGGGAGGGAGACGGGGGGGATAAGAAGGGGGCGTTTTGGGGGGAGGGCCGGCCACAGACAAGAAGATCCGTAGTTGGGGGTTATGCGGGGATTCCGGAAACTCCGCCCGCTCCCTCTTCCTGTCCCGCCGCTAATCCGTAACCCTGTCTCATACACACACACGCACACACTCACACACCCTTCCCCGCTCGCGGTCTTTGCTGCCGCTCTTTATTACACTTACCTATCATTTGCCCCAAATTCCTCAGTACCACATAGCTTCATAATCGCTGATTGAAATTTTTTGCAGTTTTCAACAGGAGCAATTATATAAAATATTATGCGATGTCATTCGGAGACGTGCTTCTGGTGAACACTTGCGTGCTTAGGATGTAAATTGTGCGGTGTGGCACAACACGGGTGGTTGCAGCAGTCGAGCTTTTCTCAAGCTTTTGCCCCCCACGACACCACGAGTCCACTCCTGAGTCCACTCCACTTTGCACCCTTCAGCAATATGCATGACCTGGCTCCCTTCCTTGCTGTGTTGCGGAATGGCACACACTCCCGCCCGCCCGCCCTTTGATGCATACTTTACATAGGGTACAATTTTCCATGACCTTAGGAGCTGGGGAAAGTGCGGGGGAGAGTGCGGGGGGGAGTGGGGGGGGAGAGTGGGGCGGCAGCCCGCACGTGCACGTACACCGAAACCCCACATTGCCACCGACATGCGATTATCATGATGAGAGCGATCATGATGAACGGTAGAGCCCTGACATCTGAAAGCGTGATTCTCCCCTCTCCTACACCCCCCCTCCCTGGACCCATACACACACGCACATACACAACACGTTCCCCTCCGATCCCCCAGTCTGGCCAGCGTGCGAAGTTATCCGACATGGGTTTGTCGAAGCAGCTGGTTCCGGAGCAGAGCAGTTTTGAGAGCCACCACGGCCCCGGGGGCTCCAGCGGGTGGCAGGCTCCCGAGCAGCTCATCGCGCGGGACGGGGGGGCGGCTCGACAGACCCGGTCCATGGACGTGTTCTCGCTGGGGTGCATCCTCTACTATTGCATGACGGGTACGGCAGACGACGGAGGGCGTCCGTGTGGGTGTATATATCATATGTGTTTGTGTGTTTGTGTGTGTTTGTGTGTCTGTATGTGTTTTGGATTTACTGATCTGCACGTGCGCATGTATCGTAGCTGTTTCTTTGACTCATGCACATGATTCCCTCCTCTTTCTCCCGTCCCTCTCCCCCCCAACACACACACACACACACACACGCAACACCCCTTCTCCCCCCCAAAGGCGGCCGCCACCCCTTCGGGGACAACCACTACGAGCGAGACGCCCGCATCCTCCGCGCCGACCCCGTGTTGGGGCCCCTGTGTACGGCGGGGCCCGAGGCCTTCAACCTGGTGAGCTCCTGCCTCGCCCGTGAGCCCGCCAGCCGCCCGGCAGTGGGGGCGGTGCTGGGCCACCCGCTGTGGTGGGGTGACGACCGGCGGCTGGGGTTCCTAGTGGACATCAGCGACAGGCGAGTAGGAGGGCGAGGGGGGGGGGAGCGAGGGGGAAGGGGGGGGGAAGATGGGTGTTATGTGGGTTGGTGTGGCCACTGTAGATCCTGTGGCTTCAGCTTTGTACTGATGATAACTGGCGGCGATACGCCTGCACAGTACGGAACCAAATCCGTTGGTCGTTTCCTTTGCATTCAACCACCGCAACCACCGCAACCATCAGTAGCAGCTTTGGTAATCCCTGGCGGGGCGGGGGTTAGCGGCGGCATCAACCCGGGTCGCAACGGCGTTTGCGTCCTTTCCCTCCTCCGCATGTCCGTTCTCCCCTCAACCCCGGCCTAACCCCCGCCCTAACCCCCCACCTACAGGGTTGAGAACGAGGACCGGGAGCCCGACACCAGCCTGCTAGCCGCCATGGAGTCGTACGCGGCAGTGGCATTGGCGGGCCCGGGGATGGAGGCACTGGAGGGAGCGGGTGAGGCGGCGGTGGTGTGTGTATGTATGTATGCATGTATGTATATATGCATGTATGCATGTATGGATCTATGCATGTATGGATCTATGCATCAATGCATGTGTGTATGTGTGTATGTGTGTATGTGTGTATGTGTGTATGTGTGTGGAGGTAAAGCCATGAGGGGCAGCCACACCCACGGGAGGCTGCGGGTGTATGGGCGTGTGGAGGGGGCTGAGGGCTATGTACCTTCCCCCCCTTCCCCCCCACCAGCTTCTACTGAGGCCGCATTCCACCACCACCACCACCACCACCACCACCACCACCCCTCCACCTGCAGGTATCTTCGCCTCCTCCTCCTCCTCCCCCCCCTCCTCCAACACCCCGGGTTTGACGGCCGCGCTGACGGCCGCTCTGGCCGCCTCCTGCCTGCCCAACTGGGGCGCCTCCCTGCCTCCGGAGCTGGTGGGCAATCTGGGCCGGTACCGGCGGTACGACTTCACCTCGCTGAGGGACCTCTTGCGGGTGGTACGGAACAAGAGAAACCACTTCCGGGAAATGCCGCCCGCGTTGCAGGTGTGTGTGTGTGTGTATGTGTATGTGTATGTGTATGTGTATGTGTATGTGTATGTGTATGTGTATGTGTGTCTGCGGGGGAAAGTGTATGTGTGTATGTGTGTGAGGGGAGGGGAGTTGGGGCTTTTACGGAGAGGCGGGAGGTGGTTGTTGTGGGGCAGTTGGAAGTTAAGGGGAAGTTAGGGTTGGGACGGTGGGGGGAGGTTTCCAGGGGTGTTGTGTCGAGGGGTCTTAAAGGAGCGCCGTACAGGAAGGCATATGGCCACGTTAATGCCCTTCTTCCCGTCCTGTGCACACACACTCCCCCTCAACCCCCCTCCTCACTTGCCTACCCGCACACCAACCAATACACACATCTGCTCTCCGTGCGGCCCCCCCCGTTCCCCATTTATAGTCCATGCTGGGGCCGCTGCCGGGTGGCTTCCTGCGCTTCTTCTGCGGCCGCTTCCCGCACCTGCTGCTGGCCGTGTACGTGTTCGCCGTACGGCACCTGGCCAACGAACCCACCCTGCAGCAGTACTGGGGGGACGGGGGCGGAGGGGAGGGGGCGGAGCCCTTCGTGCGGGTGAGAGTGTGTGCGATGAGCGGAGAGCGAGAGGGAAAGGGGGCGGGCGGGGGCCCCAGGGAGGGGAGGGCCCGTGTCCAACCTTAAGAGCTCTTCAAGACCTAGGGTTTGGGGGCGTGTGTGTGTGTGCGTATATATGTCGGGGTGGGGGGGAGGAAAGAAGTGTGTGCTGTGTGAGGGGTTGAGGGGAAGAGGTGGGGCAGGGCGCTGCAGGGAGTTTTCGAGGAAATAGACGGGGGGGTGGTCGATATGCGGGAGGTGTGTTTTGAGGGGCTTGTAATGGGGGTGCGGGGACGGGGTCCATGGAGTGAAATTGCTTCGCGCTGTGTTTTTTTGCCCGTCGTGAACCCCTTCGTTGCGCGTCACACCTCATCTCGCAGACCTTCATGGCAATGTACGGCAACCGCATGAAGCCCACGAAAACACAACAACAGCCGCAGCAGCAGCAGCAGCAGCAGTCACCGGCCGGAGGGGCATCAACACAGGGCCTGGTTTCGGAGCCACAGGCGGCGCAGGCGGTGGTTGGTGCTGCGACCATTGTGATAACTGCTACCGCAACAGCAACCGGTACCGGAGGCGGTGAGGAGGCGAAGATCCCGGTCGCACCTCCCCCGACGGCGGTGGCGGCGACCTCCTCCTCCTCCGTGTCCTCATCAGCTGCTGTCCCGGTAGGTTCGGGCAGCTGCTCAGGGCCACCGGGCCCCGCGGGGGGCCGGTTAGGCGACCGCACTTTGGCTCTCATTTTACTCAGCTCAGCTCCGGAACACATACGCACGTCATACCCATCTTGCTAGGGCTGTAGGGACCCCACCACCCCGCGGGACTGGCAGCGGGACAACGGCCGCAGCATGGCACTGTCCGGCACGGGATATGTATGTATATATATGTATATATATGTATATATGTATGTATGTATGTATGTATGTATGTATGTATGTATGTATGTATGTATGTATGTATGTATGTATGTATGTATGTATGTATGTATGTATGTATGTATGTATGTATGTATGTATGTATGTATGTATGTATGTATGTATGTATGTATGTATGTATGTGTTTTACGACGTGTATGGCCCCCCCTCTGTTGTTCACTCCGGCTGCTGCCCACCCAAACACCATTGGTCCCCCCCCATTGCTCCCCCCATTCCCCCACACCCGAAATACACACACACGCACACACATACGCACACACGCACACGCACATACAGGTGCCAACCCCCAGCAGCGATATCGACGGCAGCTCCAGCTCCTCATCCCCACCATCTCCACCCACTACCGGCCCACACGGGGGGGACGGGACTCCCTTTGCCGCCACCAACGCCACCGCCACCACCAACAACACTGCTAACAACGGCAGCAGCAGCAGCGGCAGTGGCGACCCGCAGCTTCCTGCATTTCCCCCTCCTCCTCCCCAACCGCCACCCCCGCTGGTACTTGTGGGCTACGAGCCCTCCGGCGACGACGGCGCGGTCATGGTTCGGGAGTTTCCTCGCCGTCCTGGAAAGCAGCTGTGCGACTTCTACGTCAAAACGGGGCACTGCAAGTTCGGGGAGTCGTGTGTTTTCGATCACCCGGAGCTGTATGCGGTGCGACTGACGGCGTTGGGGCTGCCCCTGCGGCCCGAGGAGCAGATCTGTACCTTTTACTTGAAGAACAATGAGTGCAGGTTTGGACCGGCGTGCAAGTTCCACCACCCTCCGCTGCGGCCCGTGTATGCGGGATCATTGGCGGTTGGGGTAGCGGAGGGGGCAGGGGGAGGTGCAGCTGGTGGGGGTGGGAGTTAGGGAACTAGGATGGTCGTTGGTGTGAGTGCGGGTAACGGCCACCGTTGGCGGTTGGGGGGATTGAGGGGGTGGGCTGCCTGCCTGAGGTTTAAGGGCAGTGGGTGGGGGGTTGGCGGCTTAGGGTTTTTCCCTGAAGTAGGCGGATAATGGCATTGGGGGGATGTGGGGAAGTGGGAGAGGGGAGGGCGAGACCTCCGACGCGGCTGAGGGGGAACATCAAGTGTAGAAATGGAGGAGTGTCTGAGTGGGGGAGTGGGGAACGTTGAGGGGGTTGTGTGAGGATGAGGCAGGGGGTGAGGGGGAGTAGTAGTAGGAGTAGGAGTAGGAGGGGGGGGAGGAGTTATTGTCAGCGTGAAGATGAAGGGTGTACCTCTGTGTGTTGTGTATGTACACGTATGTACACGTATGTACACGTACGACTGTGATTACAAGGTGATTATCTCGCTGGAGGGTGGCGAGCCAAAGTCGCGATAAAAAAAGTATCGTGTATGAGAGGAGAGGGACATCCTGGGGCTTGTTGGAGAGGGGGTGGTGTGGGGACCCTGGCTGGGGCATTGGGACCCCACGTACCGCCCGGTGACTGGGGTGCTCGGATGGGAGGGCGCCTTGGATGGTTCGTACACAAACAACTCCATCTTACCCCCCTCCCGGCTGGTGGCTCATCGTCCATGGAAGGTGCGAGAGGCCTGGTAGAACCCACAATCCTTGGGATGGCGACGCAAGGTGGGGAGTGAGACGAATAGTTTCCTGGCATACGCAGGTGCATGGGTTGCTATGTCCTGGTTGACTTTTTGTCGTCCCACTTTCGTACACTGACACCCCTTCAGAGTTTGTGTGTCCTCATTCATTTAGCTGACGGGCGGCATTTACTAGGAGAAGAGATTCTTTCAAGACAGATGATGTCTTTTGCCTCGGGGGAGGTGGTATGGAGTCTTGAGGCAGCGTTGTTGTTGACGTCGGGCCCAAGCTCGCTCGCAGAATGCGTCCCTCGTCGCTGCCTGGTTGCCGAGCGCTTCGGCGTGCGTCCACCCGTTGCAACGAAAGAAAGGATTCCAACCCGGCACTCGAAAAAAAGGATCGCGGTGTTTGCTTGAACGGGGACAGAACGACTTGATACAAAACATTTTTAGCTTTGACGTAGCCGCGGTTAGGGTGGGTGTTACGTCACCACCGTTCCTCTCTGGCGGTTGATACGCGACCATGCCCTCCAATATATTTTACGGCCGACCTGGCATTGTCATGCAAGTGCCACATCGGTAAAATTGTTTGCTGGTGCAGGAGGGAGGAGTGTATGGAGGAACGTGCATATGGAGGGTTTGTTAGGGAGTCAACACTGCCGCCGCCCAGCTTGATATACTGCCTGGGGGCACCAGCATCACACTGACTCTGTCTCCCCTTCCCTGCCCCCCGTATTCCAGTTAGTAATGATTCAATTCATTATAATGTGGTGTTTGACGGCGTTTCGGTCCACAGACCCCCCGAACGCGGTACTGGTTTCGCTTGACTCGCGGACTGTGAACGGTCCGGTGGATGAGCTCCAGTCTTGGTGTGATCAATGAGGACAGGCGCGCCGTCAGTAGCGCCGGCCTGCGCCGGGGGGAGCCATCCATCCATCCATCCGTACAATGTGGAGAGAGCGGCCGTTCAACGGACACCAGCCCCCTCGAACCTATACACGACCTTCACCCAGATAGCATACTTGGCTTTCCAGTAGGAAGAACGACGGCGATTGTTGATTAGGTCTCATTGCAACATTGGAACCTCCTTAAAAAGCAATGCTTCATGCAATGTCAGCGCCCGGCAGCTGGCTGGAGCGCCGGCTCCGACCCACAACGGCTCCGAAGCGCTAAACATAATCATAAACGTAGTACGTACACGGAATCCATATGTCGGTCCACTTCCGCCTTGACTCGCTCGAGAATCCGTATCATCGCTCGTGCACTCATCTGTAGCCAACCCAACGAGCCTACGATAACCCTAGACCGGAGCTTTCACAAACGGCAGTGAGTCACAGATAGCCAAAGCATTATCCCCCATAGCTCTTGTCGAGCCAAAGCATAATCTCCCATACCTTTTGTCGAGCGTGTGTCCTTTACCCTTAAACCCTGATATTCCGCACCCGAAACCCGACCAAAAGTCCCATAGCGTACTGGACAGCATGCTGCTAGGTTACCCCAGAACAGACCAGCCGGGCATCTTCGCCCCAAAGTCTTCTCCATGAAGCCCAATCGAGCGCTAAAGCAAGCAAGATCCCCACCCAGTTTCCGTCTTTTCGTCGTCACGGGTGTGCTCCTCAGAGCACGGCGCCTCCTGCTCACACACCCTTGTACACGTACCTCGCAAGTCAATAAAGGAGGTGCTTAAACATGAGAGAACTTTTGCCGCAGAGCTCCGCACGCACGAGCCTCGAGTACTCGCCCACACATCCGCGGGGCGAGTACGAGGGTGGGGCCTTCGTCCCCCCTCTCCCGGTTGGCCCTCCCCTAAAACCCTGTTGTTGTCCAAGACCATGCAGATCCCCCAAATTATTTGAAGCTCTCCACCCCAGCTCCACCTCCGTCCACTGCTCACTAAACGAGTTCAAGCCGCAAGCGGATACCTGCGTGCCCAAACCAAATATGTCCATAGTCCCATGCGCAGCTATCGCCTCTAGGATGTCCGGAACATGCCCCACGGCATGCCCCGCCCGTGCAAAACTGTGCTGCTGCGCGCTGCGCCCAAACGCAAGCAATGCTCCCAAGCTGAAAGCCGTGTCCCGAGCAGACGCACCTGCCCGCGCCGCACAACGCGGGACTGTGTGCCGCGGCTGATATTGAAAATCCCGTAATCCACGTGGATTTCCATGGTGCAGCGCGGGCCGTTCCCGGTGGGGTCCCCCTCTCCTTATTTGAGAAGCGAACGCGCCAAGTGCTCCTTTGCGGAGGCCAGCGCCTTGGAGAACGTCTACACAACGCCATATAGGGGATATAGGGGTACGAGAGAGAGATTTCCCTGAGTGTTAGCACATTGAAGTAATGCAGGAAACTCAACCCGCTAGAAAGCTTGGACGAGTTCTACAATCCATGTGGGGCGGCACACATGTTTACCTTCAAAAACCATGTTAAACTAATGGCCCGATCGGTGATTTCCATCGGACCATCACCGGCGAAACGCCGCCCAAAAACGCAGCGTGAATCCCTGAGAAGAGCGCGCCCCTTGAGCCCGGTCCAGTTTTGCAGTTGCGGCAGCGCATGTCATGCCCTAACTAGCTACATACCAAGTCTGTGTGTCTGTACGTCTGTTTCCTTGTGACTCCAGTTGTCGTGGTTATCATGTGCGTCTTCTCCCGCTCGCCCCCAATACGAATAGGCCCGGGTGCCGCTAAAAGCATGTGGGACATGTGACAACCCAGATCAGCTCTAAACACATATCATCAGCACATAACGGTATAACCGCATAACCGGACATAAAAAGGAGGATGCAGATGTTGCTGTTGCTCTATGGTGGTTTATTGTCGTATGTGATGTATGTACGTCCTGGAGCTGCTCTTGGGCAACCTCCAAAGCTTAAAGTCGCAACCCCGCTCCTCCCAGGGCGAGACCGACAGATTCCCCCCTGGCCAGGGCCCTAGCCCCACCTGCTCCGTGATCGGCATCGCAGCCTGCTCTCCGTCCGCTCCCCGCATCGTTACCCGCGAGGCAATGACCGCTGGCTCCGTCTCCAGAATGATACTGTATGTATCGGCGTGGATGTTAGGTTGTGGGCGAAGTGGGTCAGGTGTGAAGAGAGCCCATGCCACGAGTCTTCAGTACACGCGCCTCTCTCTCTCTCACTCTCTCTCTCACACACACACAGACACACACTCACACACACAGACACACACATGGTTATTCCGTCCGTCTCGCTGATGTGATCCCGCGCGCACAACAGGTCGCCAGTGCGCGGCGACATTACCTTGTACGGTGAGTCGTCATTTCATAAGGTCAGCATTCCTTACGCAATGCGCATTCATGTCCTCAGGTGTTCTTAAAGCTCTAACCAGGTGCGCCGTGACTCCCCGGATTGCGCTGGAAGAGATCATGACACGTTCGTACGAGAAAACTCAAGCACGAAGGGTCCCCGTCCCCATTCCCAAGCATTTGCGTTTGCACGGTTATCCTCACCCGCCGTCAACAATTTCATCGATTGCCAGGAGGACTAGATCCAGGTTTTCGAGGACGGTCTTCTTCTCCACTTGTTGTCTGATGGGGCGGGGCCGAGGGGTTTGTCAGCAATTGGGTAAGGCAACGCGAGGCTTGGTGCTTCAGGCAACGCACCTCAAGAGGATTGTCACCGACTCGTAGAAAGCTTGGAGGACCGTGTATAGGACGAGCTCGTTCTCGTCCTGGCTGCCCGTCACATAGAACATCAAGTCGCCGATGTACTTGTACACGACCACCACATTATCAAACATGATAATTTCCGCTGCACACCGAAAACAGAGTTTGAAGTCGGCCGGCAGCACTCAGCTGTTACCACTGCCTGTCAGCTTGATCTTGATGCCATTATGTCAAAGCACAACCCCTCTCCCTCATCAACGCACATTGAACTGTGCACAGCTCGGTAGACATTAGCTCACCCTCTGCTCGTGCGTTCGTTCGACTCGTCTTGTTCCAAAGCGCCTTCTCAAAGGTTCCCTGGCTTGCCACAGTCGACCTGCAATGCCCTCGTGCATTAGTTCTCCAGTGCCTCCCAGATCATTATTTTCTGATGGCTCTTTCGGGCTCACCACTCAGGTGTGTAATACTTGACGGCGATGCGCTTGCCCTCCGAGTCCAACAACAGCAGGTTCTTCACAATTGGGAGCGTGGGGTCCATAGTAGCCATTCTTACAAAAGTTACCCAAAGTGAGTTCACACGTAACTATGTACCCAGCCCAAGAAAAAGTAGCCGATTATGAACGCTCGGATAGCACACAATCTATTTGTTATATTTCCAACTCTATTCCCGAATTCACAATTTCAAGCAAACCTAGAGTAACCAGGGATTTCGCCTGTCGCAGAGAGCGGAAAAAAAGGGCCTTGTCGGTTGACAATTGTCCTGCACGTTTTCCCCTGCTTGCTATTCTATACCATGTAGCATGACACCATGTTATCATATTGGTTCCCTTCGGTTTAGTCTTCAGCATTTGCATTTCGGTTTTGCAAGGAGGGCGCCTTCCAGGCTTCACTGCCGGGCAACACCCTTGGGTGGCCTCCGGCCCATGGACGCTAGCGACCCTGACCGGGATCTCGCATACAGGCGAATCCACGGATTGGAAGCAGGGATGCCTAGCTCAGCTCAGGACCCGCCACGCTGCTGCGCATGGCTTATTCGTTGCTTTCGTTGCTTCACCGGCGATTTCGATGATTCCCAAGAAACAACACCTAGGTAGGAATAATGTGCCTGACGCCGACCGTAGCTTTCGCAGTCATGCATCGGCTTTGGTTTCGGGCACAGGTCTCGGGCGTTGGAGAACCACCTTTATCAGTACGAGGCGCCCCAGGCGCCTTCAAACCCTACACCCATAGCACAGGCACAACGCCAATCACCATCTTTCGTGGACGACGTGGATGTGGGGCCTCTGCTGCCAAAGGTTTGTCATCCATGAAAGCTCCGTAGCCCTACCTTTCCGTTCTTTTTAAATTTAGCATGCGCGACGCTATCTTTTAGAGCGGTTTAACATCACCTGCTTGCGTCACGTAACCGGGCGAAGCGCGCTTCGTTGCTCCATTTCCATTTCCATTTCCCAACCAGTCCGATGCAGCCAAACCTTGGCCCTCGGCCCTTCTTAAACCACGCATCCTACAGACCGCCGAGTCTTCTGCGCCGCTTCCCCGACCCTTGCACAGTCGCAACAACTCCTCAGGTGGGCCATCTGGGTTTGCCGTCGCCCTCCGTCGCTCTCCCCCTCTTTTCCCACGCGTGCCCTCCGGCCCCAGATATGTTACACGATACCTTTGACTGCATGTACCCTGGCCTTCCCTCTGTATCCGCGCTTACCTTTCGCCTTCGCAACTCAATTCCATGAAGTTGCCAGACGCTTTCCTGTACATAGCTGTCGTTCAATTCGCATCTTGCCCAAAGCAAAACTGAAACCCGAACTCACCGATCCCAGCCCAGCCCAGGCAAACAGGGTGTTGCGGAAAATGTACTATCAGTATGGTCGTGAATTTGCTGGCCACTTCCCACTGTATTTATCTGTCTACCTGTCTACCGCCCTGCCCTGCTCCTCTCCTCTCCGCCGCCCAGCCGTGCATACACCCCCTTGTCGTACATACCCCGTCCCACTCGACCCCTGACCGAGGCTGAGATACACATACATACATACACAACAACGCTGTATCCCCCAGCATCTCTCAACCTCTTGGCAAACTAACCCTCAACTAACTCTAAACCAACCCTCAACTAACTCTAAACCAACCCTCAACTAACTCGAAACCAACCCTTCACGAACCCTCAACCAACCCTTTACGAACCCTCAACCCTTCCCTACCAATTGCACATCGGGCAGTGGACCCTGAGTGCTTCGTGTACGTCTTGCCATGTCCCATGTTCCCCACATGATCCCCGCCGCCCAACTCCCACCTGGTCTCCTTCCTCTCCCTCCCCTCACACTCGCACAAAACACACAGCTTCTGCTGCAGCTGCTACAGCCGCTGCTGCAGCCTCCACTTCGGGCGTCGGTGAGCCAGCCTCCTACAGCACCGCCGGCAGGCAGCGCAACAGCGGCGCCCCGGCAGCAGCGGAGGGGGTCCCGGGGTCCCCCGCCCTCTCGGCCTCCTCGGGACAGGTCCAGGTCCAGGTACCTGCTGGGGCGGTGGCAGGGGCAGGGGGAGGGCCGGGGGCGGGGGGGGGGCCCCACCGCAGGTCGACTAGCCACGGAGATACCAGGACTTGGAAATCGGTCAAGGTACGGCAGGGGTACGGCAGGAGGGGTGGGGTGGAATGCGGGCGCACACCTCACGGCGTAGTTGGGAAAGTGGTTTGGAGCGGTTGGTTGGAGCGGTTGGTTGATGAGCTAGTTTAGAGGGGTTGGTTGGAGCTTGAAGTCCTAGGCCTCGGGGTGGTTGTGGTGTGGTGTGGTGTGTTGTGGGATGGGGTATTCGTAGTTAATCCCAGTATCGGAAGGGTGGGTGGGGAAACATGGGCTGAGGGCATCTCCGTGTGAGTGTGTGTGTGTGTTGGGGGGGGGGTCGGGGGGGGGGTCGGGGGGGATTTGGAGGCTACGGCCCCATGGGTTTTGGGGGAGGGTGGTAACGGGGCAGGCGGTCGGCCGCATTGTAGCTCCCGTACACTTGCGTGGGAACCCGCGGGATGCTCCCCTCCTTGACTTCCTCATGCTCGGGTCCGTCGAGTGCTGTTCCGTGACCTGGTCGAAGAAGGAAAGTTGGCAACATGTGTTCCTGTGTGTGTGTGTGTATGTTCAGAAACAGAGTCGAGCGTACGTGTGGTGCCGTTGTGGTTTATATCCTGAGTGGGCTTGCCCCACTGACACACTGACACACTGACACACTGACACGCACGGGTCCACACTCACCCAGGGAGAGGGCGTCTCACCCTCGACAGCGGCCTCGGCGGCGGCAGCGGCGGCGGCGGCGGAAGCTTCCGCGGCGGCAGCCGCCGCCAGCGCGGCAGCGGCGGCGGCGGCAGTGGCGGCGGCTGTTGCCCTGGGAGCTCCTTCTACCGCCGCCGGTCGACCCGGTGCGTTGGCTTTGCTGTCTGGCGAATCTGGTAACCTCTTGGCAACCTCTGGCCCCTTGTTTTTTGCGTCTGTCTGTCTGTCTGTCTGTCTGTCTGTGTGCGTGCGTGCGCAGCTGCTGCTTCCTGCGTGTGTGTGTGATGGCGCTGCTCCGGGCTCTCTCGCTCCCATCCAACTCTTATCTGCCACCCCGCTCCCCCCCATCTCCCCGTGGACCTGCCCAACCCCACCGCCTTGTCGGGCACCGCAGGCGCCGCCTTCGGTCCGGTTCAGGACGAGGACGACGACTTCTGCCCCACCTGCCTCGAGGTGTACACCCCGGGTGAGCGGGTGTGCTTGGGGGGGGGCCGGGGCGGGGCGGGCCGGGGCGGGGGGGATGTGCATAAAGCGAAGACTTAACTTCCAACGTTGAGAGTAAGGGAAGGGAAAGGAAGGGAATAGACGAGTGGAGAGAGGGGGTGAGGAGTGGACAGGGGGGAGAGGGGGAAACAGGAAAAAGAGGGGGAGAGGAGTGTTCTCATGGAGTTCCCTCCTCGCGTCTCACTGCTCCCGGTGGCGGCTCCCAACGCCCTCTCCCGGGTGGCCCCTCCCACGTGGCCGACACACCGGCCGAGGTCACCAAGTCCCTCACCCCGCCACCACCACCACCACCACCACCACCACCACCACCACCAGGGTCCCCGACCACTGTGTCGATATGTCCACCTGACTCGCTCTGACCTGTACCGTACTGCCCTATACCGTACTGCCCTATACCGTACTGCCATGTACCGTACTGCCCTATACCGTACTGACCTGTACCGTACTGCCATGTACCGTACTGCAGATAACCCCAAGATCTTTACGGAGTGCGGCCACCACTTCCACATGCCGTGCATATACGCCTGGTTCGAGCGCAAGACCACGTGCCCCATGTGCGAGTCGCCCATGCAGGCCCCCGGCATGTGAAGTGGGGGGGAGGAGAGGCCGGGTGGGCCGCTGTCCGGGATGGGGCTAGTGGGTGGTAATGGTGGTGGTGGTGGTGGTGGTGGTGGTGAGGATGGTGGTGGTGGTGGTGTGTCGGGGTGCGGGTGCTTTCCGACCGCCGGGGTGCGATGTGCTTCGGGTTACTATCCGGCAGGCGTGACAGCAGCGGTAGCAGCAGCAGCAGCAGTCGCTCTCTTTCCTCCTCCCCTCCCTCCTTCCCTCCCTCTCTCTTTCCCTCTCTCTACACCTCCGCCTTTCCGCCCCGTCGCCGTGGCCCACGCGGCGTCAAGGGGGAAGGGAAGCATGAACGCACACACACACACACACAGAGAGAGGGTAGGCCCCAGACTCCTCACACGCCAAGACGTGCTGTGCTGTGAGGCCTCCGGTTACTGGTCCCTTCTTAAAGGGATTTGCACCTGGTTGCGGTTTGCGGACCTCTGGGCTTGGTTTTGATAGGTTAGAGAGAAGGTCGTTAGGTTGCTGGTTGGCTGTTGTTGGTTGGTTAGTTGGCCACGTCCTCGGGGAGCAGTTGGCGGCGCCTCCGTGTGTGTATTGATTCTCCGTCTTCTCTCCTTGTATTGCTAAAAAGGCGCACTGCTGCCACATTTTCGACGGAGTGACCTTCGCTACAGCTTTCCTACGGCAATTTTTTAATGGACTGTACAAACAACCATGCATACACGGGCCGTTGTGAAACAGTTAGCCTAACCGTTACGCACTGGGCCGTACGCCCGACTAACCCAGCTTACTTACTTAACGCAAGCCCGCAAAGGATGCGCGTTCCATCATGACACGTTTTGTCATACAGTACGGCAAAGGGCCCATGGAAAAGATGGAGATATGTTTAGATGGGCAGTTGGGTCCTCCCATCTGCTATCGGGGGTTGTATGTACGTACGTATGTGTGTATGTGTTTGTGTAAACGCGCGCGCGTGTGTGTGTATGTGTGTGTATGTGTATGCGCGTTTGTGTATGGAGGAATGGACGGTGTGGCGGGCTCCGGACTTCTGACGTGATGGGTTCTCAACGGACCGCCCGCAGCCCACCGCCCTAAAGACGAGATGTGGCGGCAGATGATGACCTTCAGAGCTCTCGAGGGGTTCATATCGGCCGGTCCAGGGGGGGGCAAGTCATTGGGATGGGTCTGAGCGTGGATGCGTTGAATAGATGAGACACATGCAGACATATACACATACAGAAGACGCAGGTAGACAGACAGGTGTGTAGGTAGGGGAAGGTTGATAGCCGCATCACGGCTCCCGGGGTTGGTGCTCCAGGCGGCTATTGACGAAGAGCTGGCGAACGGTGGTGAAAGGTGGATGGAGGCGGTACTGCGGCTGCCATACATAATGGATTCCTAAATGAGACTGCCGTATATATCGGTCACGTCAGACAGCTTTAGTCATGACATTTCAGAGCTAGTGTTGCCTGCGTGGTTTCCCTTTGTGTGTTGGGACTTGGTGGTTGTGGTGGTGATGGTGGTGGTGATGTGGGAACGTCGAGCATTGGAGCCCGATATGAGTTTCTTCCTTCCCGAGGAGAGCCCTTCATGCCCCGGGGTGGGTTTGGGAATTGTGGCTGCTGTGCGATGCGTGTGCGTGTGTGACGGGTCTGTTGTGTAGGTCGGTGAGTATCGGTGTAGGAGATCGTCCTTTGCGGTTTGGCCGGACCTGCGCCAGGGGGGGCTTGGGGGTGCGGACTGTCGGTGAGACGATGTGGATGATGCAGCCCGGGCTGGAGACCCTCTGCTGCAAGAAGGGGATGGGCGGAGGATTTCATTGGCGTGTCTCGTGCCGGTTTGTCCGTCTGTCTGTCTGCAGATGGGTGCTAGCGCTTGTATATATATGTGAATGTACATGCGTTGTAGCATAATCGCTATTCCGTTTTGGATCTTTTTAGCAGGATCTTTTTAGTCTGCATATCGATGGTGGGTACAGTCAGGTTTGTGGGGAAAACGGTGTCGCGATCTTTTAAAATTTGAATAGGTTTTGAGCGAACGTGTCTTGTCTCTTACCTCTCAACGCTGAGCGAGGTCCACCATACGTAATTTCTGAGAGCCTAGTGCCTGTGTGCCTGGGAACCCAGTCTTCAACGGAACTCTGGTATGGCTTGGTTGGCCTGTCCGCCATTCGCTGTGTTGCACAGACAGGCTGGCAGGCGGAATGCAGTACAAGGGTGCAAATCCTGGCGCGGGGCGTTTGTGCCGTGTTGGGTCGTGGGGACGTGTGCATGCTATGCAACCAACTAAAGGAATGTTGCAGACATAATGACACAGCGCAAACTAACGTAACGATGTGGGGATGAGAATGTTGGTGGGAGGAGTCTGCGTGTGTTAAAGCACGTATGCTTGTAAGGAGGGGGCGGAAAATAGAATACGATGTACGTGCTGCTGCCGCTATTTCCTTGCAATGGTGACAAGTCTGCCACCTTCCCTAATAGTACTAACTGGGCTGGGTAATCGGCCTTTTATTTACATTTCGTAGTTAGCCAGAAAGTTCAATGTGGGGTTGTTAGGTGGTGTGAAGTTCAATGGACCCACCATCGGTTTGCCCTCCGCTAATAGGTAAAGGGTCTCTGCCCCTCTTAGACATGACCGTACTTGAACAGGATCTGTTCTATAGGTCATACACCTGTCTGTGTTCTTTAACTCAGACAAGCTCCTCAACCCAGACGAAGAGACGGAGTCCCTGCACCTGAGCGCAACGTAAGGCCGCAGTGGCCGTGCCGCTGGCACGGACGCGCGGCTCTGGATGAACGTCCCTCCGAGCCACATTCCGCCGGCAGGGATGGTGCCTGGGACATTCAGATGGGTTAAATCTGACTTTTTTCACGTTCTTTTTTCAATATTCACAGTAGTTTTATATTCTACAAGGAAGGTGTGCCATTCTCACTGATCATATCCTAGGACGTGTCTCTCGCTCATACGCTCACACAAAGAAGTGTCCGGTAGTCTCTCTCCTTTCCTCTCTCTAAAGGTCTCGAAAAGAGGGCGCTAGCAGTACGAGGTGGCCTACTGCCCGAGGTTTCCCCAGCACTAGCAGCCAACTGCGCTTCTAGCAAGCAAACCGTGTCGAGCACTTAGTATAGTACACGCGATATCTGTCGCAGGAAAGACTTTAGCCAAACCCGCCCGGGTTGAAGAGGTAATGTAACTTACCAGGCAGGCAGCCAGCCAGCTGGGCAATAGCAACCGAGGCAACGGACCAAACGCTGGCAATGGAGGCCTCGCTGCTTTTCACAGCGGCAGCGGGGCACGCTCTTTACTTTTGCATTCCCCCTTGCCGCAGCCACCGCACACTCCCATCGCGACTTATTTTAAATGGCCATCATGTCGAACAGCCCAACTGTTGATGGGGTGTTACACTGTGGGCGGCGCACCCCGAGAAAGGACGAGCACCGCTGCCCCTGACCGGGGGCCGAAACACAGCGCAGGGACGGGCGTGCGGCTCTACGTCCGTCTGTTCCTCCGCGCGCGCCTCACTCCCTCACTCACGCCAACCGGGACGCTCTCCCAGCCCCTGGCTAGGCAACACAGCGGCGCAGAAGACTGCGAACTGAACTAAGCGAGAGCCGCACGAGAGGCGCCACACCACCTCTGAGAAACCTAAACAGGCTATCTGCCCCCACGCCGCCTGGCCAGCCTAATCGTGCGCTCTCGTCCCGCTTGACCGCCAAAACAAGAACAAACAGAAAACACCACCGGGGGGAGGGGCTCTACTCAGGGGGCGCCACTACACACTCAAAACCCGAGGCAAGGGAAGACCTATCCACGTCAGTTACGGCCCCTCAGAAGGCTCTCCTAATCAAGGGCCCCACGCAGCCAGCAAGGCAAGAGACACACGGAGGACCACGGGCCTGAGACGACACACCACAAAAGCCGAGCTACGGTTGCACAAAGAAGACAAACGCAAGGCGAGTACTCGCACACTGGTCCTTGAAGGCCAGCTGTTCAACTACCACGAGCAACGAACTCTTCCCAAGGGCGGCCACCACTACCTCACCGGTCCACTCACAATCGAGGCAAAACCGGTCCGCACGTCAGTCTCCTCCTGGGGGTTGCGGGCTCCCGGGTGCAGCCCAGCGCAAGACAAAGCAAAAACACCTATTGCCGCGGGGGGGATGACAAGCCAGCGCGGCGCCCCCTAAAATACCCGGAAAAGGCACGGCTCACATACGCTGTGTTGTTGTTGATGTTGTTACAGGGTGGTTAAACTTCACCAGTGGCCTCCTTCCCGAGGCAATTCCCTGCTCTCCCCTGCTAGAGGGGCACCCTAATCCATTCACCCCATCCGACTTCAGAGGGTACTCTTTGAGTTTGGCAACTCACCACCAGCATCCAACCATATCTAGCGGATCAACGGCGCGTCAACTTAGTTCCTGGTCAGCTCGCAAGTTGATTTTTAACGTTCTAAACCGTCCACAAGATGGGGGCCCACCTCCCATTTCACCACTTCTCAAACACCCGAGAGGTCGGCATGCAGATTTGAACCCGGACACTCCGGGAGTAGAAGTCGCTGCCTGTTGTTGTTGTTGTTGGAGAAACGCGCTTAGCTACGATGTGTATTAGGACCCTCATCATCTCGAGGGTGCTCAGCTCGCATGTACGTGCCAGGGCAAACTTGAGTACTTGCCGCCGCGGGATTTACTTCGCCGCACCCGAAACGGCTGTAGTAGTATCCAGGTTTGTAGCTTTCCCGCGGCAGGACAGAAGCTACTAGAGACCGTTGGTGACACCAATGGCGGCACCGTTCGCGGCATGGCCCTTGGGAGGGCCCTTGGGAGGGCCATTTACAGAGCCGATCACGGCAGGGCTAGCGGCAGGGCAAGTCGCAGGACCAGCGTTAGGGCAAGTCGCAGGGTCATCCGCTCCTGGAAAGTGTGTGGGGCAGTGTCGGTGATTTTATCCTGTATCTGTCCACACCTCTGGCAGCCTGGGAGTCTGGAAGCCTGGGAGCCTGGGATTCTAATAGCCTGTGTGCCTGGGAGCCTGGGATTCTAAAGCCTGTGTAATAGTAATTAGTAATGTTACAGAGTGGGAGGCTTCTGGGCCGCTTTATCACATTGTCAGTTCTACGATTTATCACCTTATAGCACCATCCACCACTACCACACGATACTTCGCCATACAAACTGTAAGTCCAAGGCGGCGGATCCAGCCTACAGGGACCCCTCCTCATCCATTCACCCGAACATCCGAAGAGACGGAGGGTTCGGCAATCGCCACCAATCCAGCGTGCGAATCTGGTCCATCAACTGTGAGCTCAACTCATCAG